GAAGGGAATTTAAAGAAGAGGAGATACATTAGTAATAAGTAGTTGTTCTATGAAATCAAAATTTTGTATGAAAATTAGGTGGTCCTTTATTCTACATGCATCCATCATAGCTGTCAACCTTGTTGCAGTAATGGCTTTTCCTGATACCAATTAATTCTAGTTTTGACAAATGCAATGTCTTGTCTATTCAAAAACAAGAAATTACAAGAACATCCATTTATGTTGGGTTCACTGAGTTAAAATATAGTCCAATTTTTCAAAACTGACTGAGTCATGTTAAAAATCCAAACTTTCTGTATAACACTAAATTGCTGCTTAATCCCCTGGCTGCTTTTTTTACACCACACCCAAACTAACATGCCGCAGCAAATATCACCTGTAAAACATTCGGTTCATTTGAGGGTGCAATGTTAGAATTATACCTTGTTGCTTCAGCCTCATTTTTGCCAGCAGGATAGAAAGGGACATCATTGTTGTATTCATCAAAGACACCCCATCTGAGATGAGCCCATTCATGGACAAAGACTCTGCCTATGAAAAACCAGCAAAAAAATCCAGCTATACCACCACAGTTTAAATTCACATTGTTGATTTAACAGTTAAATCATTGGTTTTATAGCATTTTCCTTTAAAATAATCTGTTCCCCCCCCCCCAAAAAAAACCAGAACTGCTATAGATCACATCAGAAAGCATGTCTATAAGGGGAAGTCAATATTTGAGCGCAAAGGCTTCTTTCTAGGTCTTGAACAGTTGCCGCTGCCTAGGACATTATGGAATATGGAGCCACAATTTTGTTGCTCAAGTGGCAGGCTCATTTTAAGATAACTTGGACCCAGCCAAGAAAAGCAAAAGAAATTGTTAGTGGCTTAGGATAAGAGTGTAGAAATGGCAGAGGCACTTGATGAAACCATTCCATTTTCATCCAAGCCAGGGCTAACTGAAGATATATTGTTGCCTCCAGTGAAGACAAGATGGCATCCACTCCCATTTCCATGTATAGATGCTGAACGGATAAGTTTTATGGTTGTAAAACAGGCTAAATACAGATGCAGCTCTGTTTGTCAGCACGTTGGTGTCATTTTCCAGGTCCAGCCATCTGAGGCTGGTTTGCTTCATGAGAGCCAGTCCCTGACAGTTTGCTTAGTTTGAAAGTACAAGATACACTAACCTTGCTGAACCTAAGCAAGAGTATGTCCAACTTTTTTAGTTCACATTAATTTCTGTTTTAGTCTAGAAAGTTACCAATTGACATAAAGTGGAAATATTGCCAATTCATGTTGGACACTTTGGAGAAGTACTGAATAAAAGGAAACCATTAATAGTTTCCCAGGATCTTCCTTTACTTCAAGTTATTTTCAAAACCTCAAATAGGCATTTGAATTAAGAGGTACTACCTCGTGATCCATATGCACGAAGCAAATTGTCATTTGTCAGGAAGTTAGGTGTGAAATGGATGTACCGTCCTGGTTGCCCACACCCTCCGTACTGCAAGGTATATGGTTCGTCGCCATATTTCAAGAAAGGATCTGCCACAATGACATCAGCCTAAAATAAAACCAGAGCTGTTTTAAAGATCAACCAGAAAAGAAATGACATATATCTTTCATGTTACGCTAATTTGCTGAGCCACCTCAGAATGTCAAATGTTTAGTCAAGTATATCTGGAAACTACCAGTTGAAGAAGTCAAGATTCCTTCTGAAGGAGCCACTAACAAAAATGTGCAACTGAAAGGTTACGAGTGACAACCAATCTAGCCATTTTCTATCAGTTCCATAGCTTCTTTCAATAGCTAACAATTTAATTAACAATTAATAAAACAAATTCAATTTCTGCCTTCTTTGAATTTTTGCCCCTTCCAACAATTAACATCAGCAGGTGGTTCTTTTTAAATGCATCATTCCAAGCTGTGACATATTTTCCCAGTGTTAAAGACAGAAGAAGAATTCTGCAGAATTCTACAGCAAGAGTATAATTAGTTCATCATCCTGTTTTTGACTGTAGCTATCACAAAACTTTTTAAAAGTTTCCAAGCAAAGCATACAAACAACAACACTGGTCCACTGCTAGATTGACCTCCAGCCCCACAACCAGTAGTTAGAGGTCTCCCCCTCACCTTTCCCTAAACATCAACAACCACATTATATTTGGATGTGATGACTAACTGCCCCTCCATGAATCTCTTAGGACAGCAGTGTACCTACTTTTGGTGTCACCTGGTGTGGGATGGGGGCAAAGCAGAAGGGGTGGTGCTCTCCGGGAGAGGTTGGGCTCAGCCTTGACGGGTGTGTGCATGCCCCGATTCTGCTTCCTGTGACTTGGCTTTCCTCAGGGGAAAGCCAGGCAGCAGCAAGGAGAGATGGAGGAGCACACATACGTTCAGCAAGGCAGAGCCCAGCCTCTGCAGAAGTCCTGCTCCTTCCATTTGCCTTCAGCCTGGATCCTTATCGCTGTCCAGGTCTCCTCTGAGGAAAACCAGGCTGTGGCAAGGAGTGGCAGGAGGGAATTGGGTGTCACCCCCATCTGGGGTGTCCCCCGGTGTGGTCTGCACCCCGTGCACCCCCTAGAGCAGGGGTCTCCAAACTATGGCCTGTGAGCTGAACCCGGCCCAACGTGGCCTTTCAATCGGCCTGCAGCCGGTCCTGCTACTACCACTGTGCTGCCCCGTACACACACGATACTGGCCGCCATTTTGTTTTTCAAAATGACGTCCGGAGTCGTGCGCATTTTGGAACACCTCCAGCCACGATTTTTTCTTCTTCAGCCCTCCGATGATCTGGGGGACAGCAAACCGGCCCCTGGCTGAAAAAGTGTGAGGACCCCTGCCCTAGAGACACTACTGTCTTAGGAATATCTAACTAAACACATTAATTTAAATGAATAAACAATAGAGAACTTGGATAACACGAACTATGTAGAGCCCAGTTCTGTCCCTGTTTACACAGAAATAGGTCTCACTGCAATAAAGCCATTTTAAGTCCAGTGATTATACAGTAGGCCCTTGGTATATTCTGGGGTTTGGTTCCAGGACACACACATTCCCACCATGGATACCAAAATCCAAGGATGCTCAAGTCCCATTAAATGCAATTGTTTAGTAAAATCGTGTCCCTCATATAAAATGGCAAAAACAAGGTTTGCTGGCTGGACATTTATTTATTTATTTGAATATTTTCAAACTATGGGTGGTTGAATTTGTGGATGTAGAATCCATGGATATGCAGGGCCAACAGTATATCTGATCATATATGAGTATATATCTGAGTGTATATCTTTCTGTTTTTCCCATTGTTTTTTAAAATAGCACAAATGCATTTAAAATTTAAAATACACTCCACACTCACTTTTTCATAGGATTCTTTGGTTGCTCTTTGGTATTCGGACTTGGCTGTCCATGTCACAGGAATTACAACCTTTATAGTCTTGAAATAAAATCTTTGTTTTGTAGCATTGAAGAGATAAGAAGAAGCCTCTTCAACCATATCCTAATGGGAAAAAGAAAAGAAATACAGATATGTTTTAGAGATGTGTTCAGGTAGGTAAATGGCTTGGATTTGTGTTTCATGTTTTAAAAATTGGCAGATAGCCCCCCCCCAAAAAATGTTTTGGCAAGAAATCCTGCATGCTGCTTTTGAATAACTCTCTCTCTCTCTCTCTCTCTCTCTCTCTCTCTCTCTGTGTGTGTGTGTGTGTGTGTGTGTGTGCAAAGTTGGGCACATCTTCCTGCCTGACTTTTGAACTGAAGGAAGTTCCAGGGTCAATTCAGTTTGTTGCATCTCAAACCTCTGTAAATATCCTCCTGTAACTTTAACAGTAGCTTGATATGCTTATGCATATTTATTTAGTCTGTGAAGTTATTCCTGGAGACACTTCACACTACACAATTATTATTACAATTACTATTATTCTACTTTAATTGCCATGGTTCCATTTTACGACATCCTGGGGTTTGGTGAGGCAGTGCAGTATTGTGGCTGAGATTCGCAGACTGTCAAAAATAGTGTGAATTCAGTCCACTTTTAGGGTTAGGGTTAGTGCTAGGGAATCATGGGAATTGTTATTTTTCTGAGACATTGAACCTTCTTTGTCAGAGAACTCTAGTGCCACAATAAAATTCAGTTCCCATGATTCCCTAACCTTAACCCTAACCCTAAAAGTGGACTGAATTCACACTATTTTTGACAGTCTGCAACCCCCTTAAATTTCTTGTTGTTGTGTGCTTTCAAGTCATTTCTGATTTATGGTGACCCTAAGGCAAAACTATCATGGGGTTTTCTTGGCAAGTTTCTTCAGAGGAGATTTGCCTTCGCCATCCTTTGAGGCTGGGAGAGTGTGACTCGTCTATGAAGACTAGGGAGTTTATCATACAGTGGAAATTGGGAGTTTAAACAATGATTAACCCGTGAAAATTGCACAAATGACATTAAAATATGCTTAAAATGACATTAAACCATTACCCTGTGAAGAACCAGGGAATAACCAGGCAAGAAACAACAAAAAGTCATTCATAGGAAAATTCTGTGAACTGTTGTTTGGTGCCTGGTTCTTTATGGGATAATGGCACTTTAATCACGTTTTGTCTCAATGTCATTGAAAACCATTCACACAAGTGCGCACAAGTGTGGGTTAATCACAAATTCTGCAAGGGATAACAGTACTTTGTGCACTGAGGTCATGTGAAAACCATTTGCACAATTGTGGGTTAATCAGCATTTATACTTCTAATTTTCCCCTATGTGATAAAGAATGGAACAATGGATGCAAGCTACAGGAAAAGAGATTACACCTAAACATTAGGAGGAACTTGCTGACAATAAGAGCTGTTTGACAGGGGAACATGCTCCCTCACAGAGTGATAGTCTTTAAACAGAAGCTGGATAGCCATTTGTTCGTGGTGTTTTGACTGTGAGTTCCTGCATGGTAGAATGGGGCTGGACTGAATGGCCCTTGAGGTTTCTTCCAACTCTTATGATTCTAAGGTCACCCAGTGGTTTTACATGGTTGAGCCAGGATTTGAACCCTGATCTCCGGAGTCATAGTCCAATGCTCAAACCACTACACCATACTGGCTCAGAGTCTCCCTAAAATGCCAATCCAGGATTCTACAGGACAGATTCATGGTGACTAAAGTGGAATCATAGCACTATCACTGGAGATTATTGCATTACCTTTGCTTCTGGCATAGATGTGGGATGTAATTTTAAGAAGGTGGATCTTAATGCATTCACCCATCACCAGGCAGCAGGCAGCCTGTTTGCAACCTGGGCTTCTCTCGCCGTTCTTGAAAAGCTGCAGCAGAAGCCTGGGTTGCAAATGGGATGCCTGCTGCATAGTGATGGGTGAATGTGGTAAGATCCATCTTCTTGTTACATTCTGCATCTAGAATGTAAAGGTAATGCAATGATCTCTACTGTGTAGTGTGAAAAGATTGTGTAATTAACTTTAAGTGGCATGGTTTGGTTCCATGAAATGCTGGCATTTTAGGTAGGGACATTTAGAATTCTCAGCCAGTGAGGATGGAACCATGGTGATTAAAGTGGAATAACAGCACTATAATTGTGTAGTGTGAATGGGACCCAGGTATGGAGACAACTGGTGAGAAATCCCTGTACCTGGGATACACTTGTACCTGGGATGTACCTGGGAGGAGCCCTGGTGGTGCAGTGGTTAAATGCATGTACTGCAGCCACTCACTCATAGACCACAAGGTTGCGAGTTCAATACTAGCCAAGGCTCAGGCTAGACTCAGGCGTGCATCCTTCTGAGGTCGCTAAAATGAGTACCCAACTGTTGGGGGGCAATGAGCTTGCAGTTGTAAACCTCTTAGACATCCCATAGTGTGATATGAAGCGGTATATAAATGAAGCTGCTTTGCTGATACCTGATAAATTCTTGTGGTGTCCTCTGCTGTTAAAGGAGTAGCAAAAGGGTTGGCTTTAAACAAAGTGAGAGATACCACTGGCCAACCACACTGTTGTCAACTGTATATTGTGCAAACCCAATACTCCCAGTATTTCTAAGTTGTAATTTGGCACATATGTATAGATAGACACAGAAACCTAGATCAATTTTTAAATATAATTCTAATTCAAATTTTAATTAATTTTTAGTTTTGTTGTTTTAGAAACTATCAAAAGTGAGACATTTGCGCCTCCCTCCTTCAAAGTGACTAGAAAAGAACAAGTGTGTGTGTGTGTGTGTGTGTGTGTTGTGTGCCTTCAAGTCATTCCTCACTTAGGGCTAGCCTAAGGTGAACCTATCTTGGCATTTTATTGACAATATTTGCTCAGAGGAGGTTTTCCAGTGCCTTTCCCTGAGGCTGAGAGTGTATGACTTACCCAAAGTCACCCAGCGGGTTTCAAGTAGAATACACAAAAAGTGCTGACCCACTGCAATACTAGAAGAAATCCAAAATTGATCATACTAAAAACTTTTTGGAGACTGTCTGCTAGGTGCTATTGGCATCTAAAGTGAGGGAGGTGTGAAGGAAAGGCAATTTTGGGGAACACACAGCCCACACATTTTTGCCCAGCAACTTCTCTGATGCTAGTTACAGGGAGTATATAATTCCTCTTGAAACAACTTTAGTGGTTACCATGTAATTTCTGGACACAATTCAAAGTGCTGTTTATGACGTCTAAAACTTTGTATGGCTTGGGCCCAGACTATCTGAAAGACTATGGTTCAAAACACCCTGCAGAAATAATCCAGTTTGAGACTGCTTTAACTGCCCTGGCTCAATGCTAGGGAATTCTGGGAACTGTAGATTTGTGAGACATTTAGCCTTCTCTGCCAGAGAGCTCTGGTACCGCAATAAACTAAGAAGCTTATCGTATTAATTTAAAAATCGGTTTACCTAATCTGGTTTAAAATTTAAGCAGGTGGTATCCTGATATTATCAGAAGGATTAAATCACCACCCGGGTCCATCTTCGCTCCCAGGGGCACTTCAGCGTGCCTCTTTTCAAAACCGGGAATTTTCCAGTTTAAGAAAATGGCCTCCAGAGCAGTCCTGGGAGCAGGGATGGACCTGGGCGGCAATTTCAGCAGCTAAATCCGTCTGATAATGGGCCTCGGCAGACGACTAATAGAGTCGTCTCCGAGGCAGGGAAGAGGAGGGGCAGCCGCACAATCGGCGCCCCTTCCTCCTCCCGAGGTTGCCCTTGGAGCTGCCGGCCCTCCGCACGGCCGGCGCTCCGAGGGCAACCTCCCACTGCAGCGTCCACACATGCTGTGGCGCAGGGGTCGGCAACCTACGGCCCGCGAACCGTTTCCGGCCCAGGTCGGCGGACTTACCGGCCCAGGCAGAACCCTGCCGCCGTCGCCGCTGCCGCCGCCCGGTTCGGCCGCCGCCCGGCCGCGCGCAACGTGACCGCCATTTTGGACCCCAAAATGGCGGCCATA